GTCTGTTTGTATGTTCGAAATATAAAGAAATGTATGGGAATATTGAAGAGTCTTAATACCGTAAACTTATATCGAGTAATGTCTATGTTAAAGCTCAAAATAAATGTTGTGTATTGTCGTTCCTTTGGCTCAAAATGGCGAATTTTAGCGATTTGGTGGGTTTTGCGTTGACTGTTACTACGCGTTATAAGAGGAGAACAAGGTTGCAAAGCTCATTTTCCACCGCTCCAGCACCAGGCCGATATACACCCAGAAATTAGAATCGCCGGACTTCCAGATCGAACACCAGATAAACTTAAAGGTCGACACTTCTTCTTCTTCTCGTGGCATTCGATCGAAGATCCATTCAAAATCTAAGCGCTAACCGCCGGGTTATTTTCGAAAAATGAAGCTTTCGAAGCAACCGACCGGGATTTCGTGTGCCAAGGAGCAACCGTCACGCTGTTTGCTCCACACTGATTGGATGATGCTAAACAACGCCCTGCTACAAATGCCTCATGTGGGGGGGGGGGGGGGGNCGTCACGCTGTTTGCTCCACACTGATTGGATGATGCTAAACAATGCCCTGTTATAAATGTCTCGTGTGGAAAGGGAGAAGGGAACATATTCATCTAGTCAGTAGATGAATCGCCGCTGCGAATATGTCCAATCAGTGTGGGGCAAACAGCGGGTGGTAAATGCAGGACTAACATGTCGCCAGCTGCCAACCCACAAAGATGGCAACTACATGTCTTTTCCATGTGATGAATGACCAGCTAATTCGCCTTGGAAGAGTTTCCCACATTGCCACAAACTGCCCTCTGACCCGGTAAACTCCGAACTAACCCTGAGCCACCCTGTACGGGACTAATTTCACTGAATCTATCAATCTTGGAGCACGGGACATCTATCTGCCATTATATCTCCAGTGGCTTGTGTTTCGTTTTGACAATATCACCTAGATAGATGACATTCAATCCCGTATCTCCTGTTAATCGAGGCTATTTTCTCCTAAGCTTGGTACTATCACCACCGGCCGGGGATTAGGAGCATATTAATTAGGGCCCATACTGAAGCAATACAGTCACCCCACTTGGCACCATAGTCATTCTACCCAGATCTTCACCGCCTCTACGGCTGATACTCACAATACAGAAGACAACAAAACCTGACATACATATCGAAAGCAAGACCTCCCGTCTGCACACATTACGCCACCATTGTCCACAATATCACGCATAACGCTTCTTCAATACCTTCTTTGTTGTTGGGTTACTAACATGAAGGTCACGCACCATAGGAAGACTTGAAAAGAGGCAAATTCACAACTCACGAAGAGTCCACACGGGAAAAGTTGACAACCGCCATGTTGTTACGTCACGTTATTGTTTCGCACATTTCCAAGAGTGGAAACTGCGCGGACTGTGCACTACAAAATGTGAAACGTTCTCCGCCTGAATAGGAACTTTGCCACTGGGTACCCATACTCAGGATATGACCCCTCGGTCAAAATTTGAGGCGGCAATATTTTAAGAATCTGTATGAAGCTTGGAAAGGAAGAAAATCGTAGTAAACGCATAGGCATTAGGTACAAAATTCTTATCATTAAAGGCGGTGAAATACGAGATACAAAAACCCTTAACTTGTCGCGCAACATTGTTTCGTTGCAAGTTTTGGTCGATGTTTCACGTTTTTCACCTTGGTGATCAACTTGTCGCGCAACAAAAACATTTGTTGCGGGTGAAGAAAGTTGTTGCGAAAAGTAGAGCGCGGGTCTACCTTGAGCAACAAATGTTGGCTTTGTTGCTCGTTTTTTATTCGAAACTCACAACTTGTCACGCAACAAATTTGCTCATGCTGCGCCACAAGTTGAGGGTTTTTGTATCTCGTATTTTGCCGCCTTAAGAATAAATCAGTTTCGATTAAATATGCAAAACAACTAAAGGCAAAACAAAAACGAACTACGAAGACCCTGGAGACCGAGATTTTAATGCTTGAACGCAAACTTGAAAATAACCTTTCCGAAATTGAGAAGCGTGAAATCCGCACGAAACTAGAGATTAAGAAACAAAGCCTAGAGCAATGGATCAACTACAAAACCCAAGGTTCGATTATCAGGTCCAGAACACGTTGGTACGATGAAGGGGAGAAAAATACAAAGTATTATTTTGAGTCGGAGAAAAGGCATTTTAACAGTAAAACAATAAGAAATCTGAAAATCGATGGCAACATCACTCTAAACACAGATGAAGAAATCTAAATGA